GTACAGTCAGAAAGATCTGAAGCTGTAGCGACGGAGTTGACGGTGCAGCTAGCACGCTTAGCGGGTCTAGAACCACGTGGGATACTTGTTGCCGTCACGACAACAGCCGCTGCAATGAAGGCTCGAAAGAGAGAAGACTTGAACATTGTAGCTTGGGAAAGGAGCTGAAGAGGAACCTGAGAGTGTGGATGAAGTATCATCCCGCTCCCTTATAACCTCTTACCTCTTTATCCAAGTGCAGTTTCTCACACCACAATAATCCTGAGAGAAAAGGTCAATGTTGGAGAAGAAATCTCTCGCTATCACCACGCGCCTCGCATACAGGGTTGCTCCTAAAATAAATCCTGGTTAATTATAGAACTCGCGTACGACGCGTACATTTGATTTACCTAAGTAATTCCAAAATCAGGCTCAGGTGTCTATATCAATAATGATCCTCACAATCATACGAGCCAGTTATTAGGCGACGGATGCGGGCCCGCCGCCCGACAGAAAAACCAGGAGGTCATCAAGCTCGTATGGCTCCGAATAGAGACCCCTTCGTTGATTTTTTGCGTTGACGGTTAACCTGAATTTGTTAAGGCTCTGGCAACCTCTGCCTCCGAGTCGGTACTTATCAAACGGCCCGTTTAAGGCTTGAAATTTCCCCGAGCAGTAGTAGAATTACTCACAAGAAGGTATTCCAGTTAGACCCATCAAGACTTGTACTATAAATAACACCGGGAAGAAAAATAAACCTGCTCACGAGGAGACCCTAGTGTGGCGCCGAATATGAGAATCAGTCCTCTGAACAACTGGCGGTCCGTGCAGCAGCAGCAGCCGCTTAGTACCGTGACGCGAGATCCATGAAGATCTATTCCACCATGACTGTACCGGCCCGCCTGCAGATTCAGTTGCTCATCCGAAATCTTACCGCGTTTACAAGTCGAGGGCCGCAGTTGTCGGTGTCTGTTATTTCGTCTGTGTGTCAAGACTGGCGAGTGTTGACAAGAAATGCCGAGGCTCAGTCGAGAGCACAGCCTCTATTTATCAAATAACTTGCCAGTTCTCCACACTGTGTTCGGCTTGTTAGCGACATTGAGTGAGCATGGACAAGCGATTAAGATACTGACTGGAGTGACCATCAGAATCTATTCAAATAGATGGTCTATCAACGCTGCTACTACCCTCACATTCACGCTATTCCCTATCAGCCGGTATTTCGTCTTTCTCGACACATCGTCAGGCCACTGGAATAGTAACGGGTCAAAGTCAAATATACGGAGCAGCTCGTCGGGCGTAAAATATCGCAACCGTAGGGGTCGTAGAATAGCTAGGTCTGCAGTCGAAAGAAATTCGTCAAACGTCTTGGTTGTCTTTCCTAGAATGAGCGGATGAAAGAAAGTTTCTAGAGGAACTGGACGTACGTCGAGGTCTTCGTTCATCTGCAGAATAGACCCAGCTCGCTCAACAAGATGCGTGTAGCCTATAATAAAAGTGAGTTTACACACGGCATCTCAACGTTCAAAACGCTTACCACTTGTAAAACAACATGTCTTTCTATCTCCAGGCAGCACGATATCAAACAACCGGCCCCACTTGGTCAGCACCCTGTCCGGAATTGCATAACCTTCCCCGTCGTCGTCCAGATAGTCCCTCACCGCCTTGATCTCTCCTGCCACCCGTCCAGGTATCTCTCTGAAAACCACTCCATTAACCTCGCCAACCCAAGGCTCCTTCCTCGCAAGCAAATAATACCTCAGCCGCGAATTCGGTATGCCAAACTGCAGCGGGGTCAGCAAAAACTCGCGTACGGAGTACCCCAGCTCGCGCAGGGACGTAAGAAGGACTTGACGCGTGCTTGAAGTCTTTCGGACCCGTCAGTCCATAACTTGATATGATAATGGATGCGAGAATGGGCACCTCGAACCCGGCAACGTTCTCCACTAGTATATGGCTAGGCCTCTGCGTCGGGGCTAGTTCAGGAAGGACAGTCTGTATAATATGCAAGAACGACTTGGCCCGAGGATCCCCTGCTCCTTTAGCGTTCGGGTTAAGCACTGTGTATGGCTGGCACGCAGGAGAGAGGAGCCACAGATCCGCTCCCAAGTCGCCTAAATTTGTTGCTGTCAATGTCGATATGTCCACCTGCAGATGAGCTCAGCGAGTAGAAATGATTTGGGCTGGCAACGGACCCGATGCACAATTCCTTCCCCGTAATTCCTGCTGTATATCCTGCACGCGTTCTGGTCCCAGTCAAATGCACGAATAACGCTTGCAGAGACTCGGCTTTTCATTAGGGCACAGTGAAGACCGCCTGTGCATTTGCAAGTAAATGGATATGCGAAAAAGAAAAGACAGACAAGTACCTATCCCACTGTAAAATTCCAGCGCTCGCACCATGGTATCAACAGCCCTTGGTAAACGATCATGATGTCAATGGCAACAGTAACAGACTTTTTCGGGTGTTGCCGGTACCTAAATTGGGGAGGTTATTTCCAGATTGGGGTTTGGTTGGAAATCGTGGCGCGTCAACGTCGCGTCGCGCTTTTCAATTTACATCCACGCATTCTTGACTTCTATTTCCCAGTTACTCGTGGTGGGAGCATCTAAATGCTCCGAGGCGATGCTAGAGTCCCTCAAATATGTCCAGAATGTTCTTTACGGCTGTCTCAGGGCTCGAATTCAACAAAAGGAGAGGGGTTTTTCAGGTCTAATCATTGCAGGGCCAGTGTAAGATCGATTCTTATCAGACGAGAGCAGTGAATTTTTGGTAGACTCCTCTTTTCCCGTCTTGGCTTTATCTACTAGATCTACTAGATGACGTCGCTGGACGATTCCTTGGCACGGACTCAGAAGATACTCAAGTGGCTGATACACACAGACCACAACACTGGGGCTCAAAATGATTCCCTTGACCCCAAGAATTTGGCACTCTCCCACTGACGACTACCATGTCGAACGCTACGAAGGACGTACCTATCGACCTCCACATCCCCGACAACTACGTTCAGCACGCCCTGACAACGACCAAACCACGACCTCCAATCACTCTCGCCAATATTCTCAATGAAATCAACTGGCTCTCCTTCATCATTCTCACCTCTACCCCAATAATGGGAGTTATCGGCGCTTATTACACCAAGCTGAGATGGGAGACCGCTGTCTGGGCTCTTGTATATTACTACGTCACTGGTCTTGGTATCACGGCAGGGTACCATCGTCTCTGGGCTCATAGGTCATATAATGCTTCAAAGCCGCTCCAGTATATGCTCGCCATGGCGGGAGCTGGTTCCCTGGAAGGATCGATCAAGTGGTGGTCTCGAGGTCACCGTGCGCACCACCGGTATACAGACACTGATCTCGATCCATACAATGCTCACCGGGGATTTTTCTACTCGCATGTTGGCTGGATGCTCGTCAAGCCTAGGCGGAAGCCCGGTGTCGCGGATGTCAGTGATCTGAGCAAGAATAGTGTTGTGAGGTGGCAGCACAGGTATTACTTGACGCTCATCTTGACGATGGGTTTCCTCTTTCCCTCTGCGATCGCGTGGCTGGGATGGGGTGACGCGAAGGGTGGGTTCGTATATGCTGGTGTTATGCGACTAGTCTTCGTGCATCACGTCAGTTTTCAAGCGCCCATTATTTTCAGCATGAAGCTGACCATCGTATTGGGTTTAGTCGACTTTCTGCGTCAACTCCCTCGCTCATTGGCTTGGAGAGACTCCCTTTGACGACAAGCATACGCCAAAGGACCATATGGTCACAGCATTCGCTACCATTGGTGAGGGATACCACAACTTCCACCACCAAGTACGTGTCATTTCATGTTTGTCATATACACTCGGCATCTGACACTCGGGCTCGCAGTTCCCGATGGACTACAGGAACGCGATCAAGTGGTACCAGTACGATCCCACGAAATGGTTCATTTGGTCGATGCAGAAGATTGGACTTGCGAGTCATTTGAAAGTTTTCCCTGAGAATGAAGTTCGCAAGGGTCAACTGACAATGCAACTCAAGCGTCTTCGGGAGACCCAGGAATCGCTTACTTGGCCCATGAACAGTGATGACCTACCTGTTATTTCGTTCAAGAGCTGTACGTCTTTTCTAACTCTATCCCACCAGAAAATAAGCTGACTTTTGTATAGTCCAGGATCAGTCGCTGAAACGTCCACTCATCCTCATTTCAGGTTTTATTCACGATGTTTCGATGTTCATGGATGAGCACCCTGGTGGAGCTCATCTCCTTGTCAAGTTCATAGGCAAGGACGCAACTACAGCCTTCTTCGGTGGTGTGTACGATCACTCGAATGCAGCTCATAACGTACGTTATCCTCTTGATATCCCGTTTCTGACTCCCTGAATCATCAGCACATTATAGAGTCTCGCAATGAAACGTGTGGGTGTACTCCACGGCGGACATCCTCACGTCTTGGATATCGCCAAGCGAATCCCGCCTAGTCAGCAATTGAAGATTGCACGCTACAATGAACTGAACTCCAACTATGCTAGTAGCACCGCATGGAGTGATGAGGAGGGGTTTACAGAAGGTACCCATGTCAAGAAGCTTTCGTTGTTATAAGAGAAGGTTCTCGTTATCGAACCCTTTCCCCTATGCCGTCCTTGTTTTCCCATTTTAGACTGATTCGCTGTCATAAATACTGTTTTTCAATCGCGTACGTTTGCAACCTTAACGATAGTGTGTTCCATGTGCCATTTCTCCTGACTTATCTGGCATGCTCTCCGTTTGCAAACATACCGAAAGTACTATGGAACGGTTTGGGGTAAGTTCGGGGTGTCATGACCGCGCTTTTACCTCATCCGCTCTCTTATCATGCCCGCATCAGACCCCGCCAAAAACGAAAGTGCTGAGATATGGTTTCAAGGATTGCCCGGAGCCGCAAAATGCAACGGTAATTAAATGAAGAGTGTAACCGTAAATAAGTACATGCAATCGTCTGTATGGCGTTCAAGTCCGACCGGTCCGCATTCCGTTCTTTTTTTCTTCCAAATTTGGCAGAGAATCGTGATGCGCTTTTCATTTGTAACTTCTAATTACTAGCTAATCGTGATAGAAGCATCTATATATTCCACATCGATAAAGGAATCCCTCAAACGTGTCCTTATAGCTGCCCCGGGGTTGAAATTCAATCTCTGGAGAGAGGTCCTTCAGATCCAAGCTTTTACAGGACCGTGGAATATCGATTCTTATCGGACGGGACTGATAATTTTTTAGTGGACTTCTCTTTTCCCTTGGGTTTATCTACTAGATGACGTCGGTGCCTCCATTACTTTCTCGGGACGATCTGCTCAGTCCAATTCAAAGGAAGATACTTGACTGAAAGATACATACAAACCACAACACTGGGGCTCAAAAATAACTCCCTTGACCCCAAGAATTTGGCACTCTCCCATTGACGACGACCATGTCGAATGCTACAAAGAAGGATGTACCCATCGACCTCAACATCCCCGACAACTACGTCCAGCACACTCTGACGACGACGAAACCGCTGCCTCCAATCTCTCTTTCCAATGTTCTCAATGAAATCAACTGGCTCCCTTTCACCGTTATGACCACTACCCCAATAATGGGAGTTATCGGCGCTTATTACACCAAGCTGAGATGGGAGACTGCTATCTGGGCTATTGTGTATTATTACATCACCGGTCTTGGTATCACGGCAGGGTACCATCGTCTCTGGTCTCACAGATCGTATAACGCCGCAATCCCACTGCAATATATACTTGCCATTGCAGGAACTGGTTCCGTAGAGGGCTCGATCAAGTGGTGGACTCGAGGTCACCGTGCGCACCACCGATACACAGACACAGATCTCGATCCTTACAATGCTCACCGGGCTCATTCTACTCACACATTGGCTGGATGCTCGTCAAGCCTCGAAGGAAGCCTGTTGTCGCAGACGTCAGTGATCTGAACAAGAATCGCGTTGTAAAATGGCAGCACAGGCACTATTTTACCCTCTTTTGACGATGGGGTTCCTCTTTCCTCCCTTGGTCGCGTGGTTGGGCTGGGGCGACGCGAAGGGCGGGTTCGTCTATGATGGTGTTCTGCGACTAGTCTTCGTGCATCACGTCAGTTTCCGAGCGTCCATTATGTTCAGCGCGAAGCTGACGTGTTGTTCTTAGTCGACTTTCTGCGTCAATTCTCTCGCTCATTGGCTCGGGGAGACTCCTTTCGATAACAAGCCTACGCCAACGGACCATATGATCACAGCTTTCGCTACCATCGGTGAGGGATATCATAACTTCCACCACCAAGTACGTGTCATTTCATGTTTGTCATAAACACTCGGCATCTGACACTCGGGCTCGCAGTTCCCGATGGACTACAGGAACGCGATCAAGTGGTACCAGTACGATCCCACGAAATGGTTCATTTGGTCGATGCAGAAGATTGGACTTGCGAGTCATTTGAAAGTTTTCCCTGAGAATGAAGTTCGCAAGGGTCAACTGACAATGCAACTCAAGCGTCTTCGGGAGACCCAGGAATCGCTTACTTGGCCCATGAACAGTGATGACCTACCTGTTATTTCGTTCAAGAGCTGTACGTCTTTTCTAACTCTATCCCACCAGAAAATAAGCTGACTTTTATGTAGTCCAGGATCAGTCACTGAAGCGTCCCCTCATCCTCATTTCAGGTTTCATTCATGACGTTTCCACGTTCATGGATGAGCACCCCGGTGGAGCTCATCTCCTTGTCAAGTTCATCGGCAAGGATGCTACCACAGCCTTCTTCGGTGGTGTGTACGATCACTCAAACGGAGCTCATAACGTACGCTATCGTCTTGACATCCCTGTTTTTCGCTCGTTGAATCATCACCATCTGCTAGAGTCTCGCTATGAAGCGTATAGGTATACTTCACGGTGGACATCCTCATATCTTGGACATCGCCAAACGGATCCCGCCTAGTCAACAGTTGAAAATTGCGCGCTACAATGAACTGAGCTCCAACTATGCTAGCAGCACCGCCTGGAGTGATGAAGAGGGGTCGGCGGAAGGTACCCCTGTCAAGAAGCTTTCGTTGTTATAAGAGAAGGTTCTCGTTACTGAACCCTTTCCCCCATGCCGTCCTTGTTTCCAGATATTAAACTGATTCGATGTCATAAATGTTGTATTTCAATTGTGCCCGTCTGCAATCTTAACGATAGTATGTTCCATGCACTATTTCTCCTGCCTTATCTGGAGAACAACAACAGAAAATTTGAATTGTGGGCATGCTCTCCGTACGCTACCAGTAGGATCTACGTTCGGAAACGTGCCGGAAACGGTTTTGAGTAAGTCCAGGGTCTCATGACCGCGCTTTTACCCCATCCGATTCCCGATCATCCCCGCATCCAACCCTGCCAACAACCATTGTGATATCATTCCAAGGATTATCCGGAATCGCGTAAATGCAGCGGTAATTAAACGACGAGCGTAGCCATGGACACATATAATCGTCGGTATGGCGCCCAAATCCGACCAGTCCGCGTTCCGTCTTTCGTCATCGTTTTTTTTTCCTTGGCAAACCTAACCCTTCTCTTACCTACAGCGAGACATCGCTCTATCAACGGCACGCCGCCTTTCCTCCTGCAAGACAATGGTTGCTTCGTAGACATCGGTGCGCTAAATAGACCGACGTAGTGTGCGGAGAAAGTGTGTTTTTACATTTTGTTGCATTTATTGTTTTTTTTTTTCCTGCTCGCTTCACTATAACTCTGACAGGCTATCCGGAGTATGATTATTTCGCTTTGTATTTTGCTCTTTTTGTGGCGCCTTGCGCCACTGAGCTCCGTAAGAATTGAAGCCTCATCCATTTCTTTGCTCCCCTCTTTTTTTTTTTTGTTACGACTTGGTTTGTGAACGTAACCTAGAGCTTCTTCTACCAAATAGCTGATCACCGTTGATTTAGGGATTGATTTGGAAGTTCGAAAGCTGCACTCTTCCTTTCCTCATTCAGGGCAACGGTTTCGGCAAACGGTGCTCTCAGGGTGACAAGAAGCGATTCCTTGATTTCTGCGGTCTTCTTACCGAAATATCTCTCAGTGGTAAAGCTCCGTCTGTTGAGCGTTAAGTATACATTCTGCGGGACGCTCGAATAACAGACTCGCTGGATGTTGCCTCGAACCCAGTTACCGAAAACTTCGAGAGGGCGAGCAGCATAGGAATAGCCTTCTTCTGGATGCGTTTCTACGACTCTCGAACTGATCTAACAATGCTCTGCAGTAACCTCCAAGAAAATCTGCAGCACCTTGGAGGTCGATGTTTTTAGGCTTCACAATGACCGTGACGACATTTGCACCTTCCTGCCCCATATTGTAAGAATAAAGGTCCTATGGCACAAAATTAACTTCGAGAGGCTCGAAGACTTGAATTACGCATGCTAGCCCAGAATACAAAGCCCATTGCGGCGCCGTATCCACTTTAGAGATACTGGACCATGTCACACCTCCGGGGAAGGTCCACGCCTAGGCTGTACTCCGTCAAATCGAAGCGTATGCGTACCTCGCTACTTTCTTTCGCCACGGATAGTGAGATAGTGGTGGAGGTCCAGGACTTCGTTGCGTTCTCGAAGATTCGCCTCTTTGCTGATGACTCTGGTGTAAGAACAAAAAAGTTATGCATGAAGCAACGCGTATTGCGTAGTGTTCGACCCCCCCTCGATCGAGGTGTCTGGAGCAAGCTCTGTAAAAGGTGAGTTTCGACAAGATGGCATGGCACGCATACTCTTTCGACAAAGCCAAGAACCATCGATACTAGGCTCTTGGAGCGAGCGATTGACAGTATATGCGGACTTTTGGACGCCCGCGCTACATTCGGCGCTCATCGTAAAGCCTGACAACGTTGTCTTGCTGGAATAGAGATGAGCGTACTGATTCTCGTTCGTGCCAATTAATGACTTTTGAACTCACAAAGTCCTTCAAAAACTCGTCTTACTCGGAGGTGGATTGCACAAAGTGCGCAAACTCTACATTACAGCTGTCCAGCATGTTAATCCAGGTACGAGACTGTACGATTTCCTCGTGGTAGCGCCGGGTAAGATAGACAAGGCAGGTTCCAAGTTTGGGAGTCGGAAAGTAGACTGACCAAGCACATCACCCATACAAGAGTCCCATGAGGAATGCAGACAACACTATTCTCAAGCTGGCCGTACCCTATTTTATACGTAGCTCCAAACATTATCACTGGGACTTAATTGTCGGTACCTTCTGAGTGACTCGATACTCCGGAGCGCGGCAGGCCATAGTCGAGCTCCCGGTTTCACACGGCGCTTTGCTCAGGTCAAGAGTTCGTCGCTGTTTAGGTTCCCATACGAACTCTTTACTCACCCTTCACCCCCATTTTTGAAGGGGTGAAAGTCCCGCCTGTCTCGTTGTCGATAATAAGTAATTGATCCGAGTCCTCAAGCATTTTTACTGAGGTTGGTATTCTTTTAAGGAGCGGCATGGATCCAAGATAAAGGGGAAGTATCCGTTGAAATTCAAAGGCTACTAGGCAAAGAAATAGCCACGGTTCATTATAACAGCCCCGCAGTGCATATGCCAGCTATTCAAGAATCAAGATAGGATTGGCCAGACGGACTCCGAGTTTGAGCTCGACTCAAGCTCAGATCTCCAAAGATCAAAAAGACATCTCGATTGCTCAAGTTCGAGATGTGGTTGCCCCTAGTAGAACCGTAAAAGTAGCAGAAGTTAATAATCATCTGAAAGTGCAAGTAAAACGAGAGCCTTGTCTAAAAGTAGCGAGGAGTAGCGCTGTTACACGACGACGATCTCAAAGGCCGGATTGACATTGGCGAAAATCGAAGCAATCCATTGAGGCGTTGGAGTACCAGTTCATTCGACCAACAAGCGCAGAAAAGATTTGGAAAAGACAGATAACTTAACAGAACTTGAGCAAAACAAAAGCAAATGATGATCGTGGCGTATTGATCGAGTATTGATGGTCAGTCACGTTGCTGACTGGCACTTGTACTCGACTGTCACCATCACTGGCATGTCGCTAATTAGTGATACCGAGTACGTTCACGACCTTGAATTACAGCCGTGCTCTGATTATTTCGCAGCTATCTCATACACAGTCTCAGACTCAACTACCTACGCGACGTCGAGGATCCTTATGGCCGCCGTCTCATCTCTCTCGACTCGTCCTACACTTCAAATCCTTACATCCTCGCCGCCTCTCTTGCTGACGTTGACCGATGGCCCGAACTCGCTATGCCGTCTAGCCCTCAAATTTCCGACGACGAAGAACAACAACCAGGCGCAGGCGCCAAAGGGTTGAAGTATACTCAGACGATCATGGGTGGACGTACAGGCGGGCTGGGATTGCGTGTGAGTGGGAAACGAGCGTCTGTGAGCAAACGAGCGTCGACGTTGCTATCATCGACAACGGAGCCGGATGTAGTGAAGAACTTTGTGGGAACGAGTGCACCGGTCAATGAAGAAGCAGAGGTCGAGGAGGTAGCAGAAGGGACGCCAGAGATCAAGGTGCAGGAGGCACCACCAGTGGTAGAGGCTCCCCAGTTTGTTCCACGATTCAAAGGTGCTGCTGAGATGGAACGACGACGACGACTGAGGATGGCAGCGAGGAGAGGTCCCGACGCAGCCCCGCCGCCTGGTCCGCCCCCGACGCTCAGCTTTGACGATTCTTCGAGTGACGAAGACAACGCTGTCTCATCTTCGTCCTCATCATCGACTTCTTATGGTGCAAATGATAGCATGGACGACGACGACTTTGACCCGTGCGTATATGCTGTCTTTGTGTGATTATATACTAAACTATTTACAGTGAATTTGCGGCAACGACAACACGTACACCAGGAAACTTTGACAGCGCCTCTGACATGAACTCTATGCTCTCCCTTTCAAATTCCCGACGCTCCCGCCCCCGACTCACGCCCGCCTCAGGAAAGCTCTCGCCTAATCGCCCACGTGCAGAGTCTCGTCCTCACAGACCACAGCGTAATCCCACTACAGAAATGTCCTTTACACGGAAACGCATCGTACCTCCCAAGCCTCCAGCCGTGTCTGCTCTTTCTGCGATGCTCAAATCAGCGGGTACGACCACTAATCCGTTCAGCGAGCTCTACTCGTTGATCAGCGGACGCGGCGAGAATGCGTCATCGTACGTCCAAGTCTACTTTCCCCATGCACAAGGGCCCAGAAACAAGGCTATGGAGCTCAGTGTCAGGAAGGATGCCTCAGTCGAAGAAGTCATTGGGTTTGCACTATGGACGTATTGGGAAGAAGGATGGAAACCCAAGCTCGATGAAGGTCTCACTGAGGAAGACGAGAAATGGAACACTCAACTTAGTGCCATCGGGTGGATACTCAGAATAGCTGAGGATGACGGTGAAGTGGACGATGACTTTCCACGTATGTCTCTTTTTCGCCTTATTCAATCATACTCATAGTCTCCCAGCCCCGGATCGAATGGGAAAAATCGTCAAATTCAACGCAGATGCCTACGCCGTCTTGGAAGCCAACCCTGCCCAAGGTTAGACTTTCTTCTTTCTCTCTATCCCTTCTCACCATCTCCCTAGTCGCCCAGAACCGTATACTCCAAAGCAAGATTCAACGACGACCCTCTCGAACAGCCGTCGCCAAGAAACCCCAGAATCAGAATCAGAACCCAGGATCGTTGCCCCCAGCAGCCACTACCGGCGCTCCCGTATTTGGCTCCAACCTCGGCTCCCTACCGCTCTCAACCAGTCTAGGTTTATCATCCAGTGGGCCGCAGATGTTCTTGAGAATCAGAGTAGCAGACGCAGCCGATGCAGGGCACATATCCACTACTATCCCTGTGTATGTTCATTTTTTCACAACCTCGTTCTTTTCTGACCCCGATTCCAGTTCTGCCGAGATGTACATGCAGGAGGCCCTCGAGATGGTCTGTCGTAAGCGTAAGCTTGACAACCCGAAAGAGTACGCACTGCTGCTCGCGGATATGAGCATCCTCATCCCGCTGGACCGTACCGTGGCCAGTCTGCAAGGCAAGCGGGAGCTCGTGATCATCAAGAAGAGCAGGCTTGGCGGAGACGTTCTCAAGGGTGCTGGGCGGACGACTGACCCGAACGGTTAGTCCGCCATTATCATTACTTTCATTTCTGACGCCATCTTCAGCATCAATATTCAAACGTATTTCCGATACGCCAGAAGTCAAACTCAGCTCTGCATTGGATTACACTGCTGCTTACAAGGTTAGATTCTTCGTG